AGTAGCTAGGATTACAGGCGTGAGCCACCAGTGCCCGGCCTAAGAACAGTTTTTGAGGTGGTTTTCTACCTTCTTTGTGTGTCAGTCCATCTTCTACTTTAAGAAGGAATTTCACCTTCTCCTGTTTTTCATTTACTAACATTTTTTATTTTATTCTATGGGTTGTAATCCATTATTTATTTTACAATAATTATTTATTATGTAACCTTTATTTACTTTAATTTTTATTTATTTTTTTAACCAGTCATGAGGCTTGAACTCAGGGCCCGGGCACTGTCCCTGAGCTTCTTTTTGCTCCAGGCTAACACTCTACCACTTGAGCCACAGTTCCAATTCTGGCTTTTTCTCTTCATATGGTACTGAGGAATTGAACCCATGGCTTCATGCATACTAGGCAAGCACTCTACTGTGAAGCCACATTCCCAGCCCCATTATTTATTTATTTATTTGTTTTTGGGTCCGGTCGTGGGGCCTGAACTCTGGGCCTGGGCGCTGTCCCTCAGCTCTTCAGCTCAAGGCTAGCGCTCTACCACTTGAGCTATAGCGCCACTTCTGGCTTTTTTTTTTTCTTATGTGGTGCTGGGGAATTGAACCCAGGGCCTCATGCATGGAAGGCAAGCGCTTTACCACTGAGCCGTCTTCCCAGCCCCATTATTTATTTTGATAGTCAGATAACTGCAGGTTTGGCTAGTAGGAGCCCTTTCTACAACTTTTTTTTTTTGGCCAGTCTTGAGGTTTGAACTCAGGGCCTGGGCACTGTCCCTGAGCTTTTGCTCAACGCTAACACTCTACCACTTGAGCCACAGTACCACTTCCAGCTTTTTTTTTTTTCCTTCTTCTGTTTTTGTGGTACTGAGGAATTAAATCCAGAGCTTCATGCATGTTAGGCAAGCAGTCTACTACTAAGCTATATTCCCAGCCTCTACAACTTTTTTGATATACTTTCTTTCTTGGAGTACTTCATTATTTCCTGGCACAGCCAGGTGTTCTAATCTCTAGGAAAGACTCCTTTCTTGGGCTAAACACTACAGTCAGTTCGTCTAGGCACCCCTGGTTTCATTGAGTCAAAAGGTATTTAGAGATCAAGATGGTGGGCTTGGGAGGTAGCTTAGTAGCAAGAGTGTTTGTTTAGCATGTGTTCAGGCCCTTGGTTTGTTCCCCAGCCCTGCTCATACCTCCCTTGCCCCTGCCATGGTCAACCCCCCAAAAAAAAAACAAACACCCCCCCCAAAAAACCCACCAAAATAAAAGCCAAGGTATAAGGGATTCTATATTCTCTTAAGAGGCCAGTGCTAAGAAATACACTTTAATGTGTATGAATACACACACACACTCCTATGCTTGTGTGTGCCTCTGTTATAGCCACATGTTATTGCAGATCATTCCAATTATAGTTCCACATCATAGGATTCAGTTTGGCTGTTTTCCTGGTTGACCTTCTCCCTGTTGTAATTTCCTTTTCTGGCAGTAAGAAATTTGATTCTTGTTATCCACAGTATATTTAGGTAATTGCTCAGTCCTTGAATGTACTACAGTAGTATAAAATTGATGAATCTATACCACCGTGAAAAGTAATTCTAAGTATGGGCATAATACTATGTTTAAGAGTTCCTTGGGGGAGGGAGAGGTAGCTCAGGGGCAGAGAGAATGTCGAGCATAAGAAAAACCCCAGGACTGAAAAAACAAAAGCTACTTTGGTCAGTCCATCTTTCCTTGCCTTCAGTATGGTTAGGATACTAATTTAGAATGACAGATTTTATTTTTTGTTTCTGTTTCATTGTGAGTTGATCTTTCCCATCCTTAAATATTAAAAAATCTAGCTGGGTGCTGGTGGCTCACACCTGTAATCCTGGCTACTCAGGAGGCTGAGATCTTAGGATCATGGTTCAAAGCCAACCTGTCAGTTATGGGCCTTAACTCTGGACCTGGGAGTTGTCACTCATTTCTTCTGCTCAAGAGGAGTACTCTACCACTTGAGCCACAGTGCCACTTCTGGTTTTCTGGTTAATTGGAGATAAGAGTCTCCTGGACTTTTCTGCCTGGGCTGGCTTCAAAAGGGGTTCCTCAGATCTCAGCCTCCTGACTAGCTAGGATTATAGGCAAGAGCCACCAGTGCCTGGCTTTGAGAGACTCTTATCTCAAATTAACCACCAGAAAACTGGAGGTGGTGGTGTGGCTCAAAGTGGTAGAGTGCTATCCTTGGGTGAAAGAACTCAGAGATAGTGCCTGAGCCCAGCGTTAAAGTGCCATGACTGACAAAGAGATTTAAAAAAATCTATTTTGATTGGATAAAACACTTAACTGTTTTTTTTTTTTTCTTTCTATCCGTTGTGGGGCCTGGGTGCTGTCCCTGAGCTCTTCAGCTAAAGGTTAGTGCTCTACCACTTGAGCTACAGCACCACTTCCGGCTTTTTCTGCTTATGTGGTGCTGAGGAATCGAACCCAGGGCCTCATGCATGCAAAGCAAGTACTCTACCACTGAGCCACCTTCCCAGCCCCACTTAACTGGTTTTAAATGTCATAATTTCATAAAGCCCCACTCTCTTCTGTTCCCATTATCTCCTCCTTTGCTTTCCTGTCCATCCACTTGTGTCACCTTTCCTTTGTTGTGTTGCTTTTTGCAGCATTGTTAGAAGTACTCCCTTTTGCTTTTTGTTTTTACTTACTATATCCTGGAAGCCATTCTATTTCCTTCTCTGTTTTTGGACTTTCTTTTCTGTTTATTTTCACTATATATATATTTTTTTATTTTTTATTGTAAAGATTCTATACAAAGGGTTACAGTTACATGAGCAAGGTATTTTTACTGTATTTTAATAGTATTCATGTTAATGTCCATGAGAAAGTCTAGTGATTATTTTCATTTTTAGAGTCAACCATTGACTGAAATTGAAATGCTCGTGTGTGTGTGTGTGTGTGTGTGTGTGCGCGCGCGCGCGCGCGTGCGCATGCGTGTGTGCCTATGCGCACGCATGCACGCGCACCTATCCTGAGGCTTGAACTCTGGGCCTAGGTACTGTCTCTGAGCTTTGTTTGCTCAAGGATAGAATTCTACCACTTAAGCCACAGCTCCACTTACTGCTTTTTGGTAGTTAATTGGAGAGAAGAATGTTAAGGCAGCAGCAAAAGGAGATTATATGATCCAGGATCTTTTTCCTTTTGCAGGTTCTGAGATTTGAACTCCGGGCTGGTTGCTTACTCAGCTTGCTTGTTCATAGCTGATACTCTACCATGTGAGCCATGCTTCCAGCTCAACTTTTTGCTGGTTAATTGGAGATGGGATCTCTGGGAAATTCTGCTTGAGTTGACTTTGAGCCTCAATTGTCCAGTTTTCTCAGTGTCTTTCTCAGTGTCCTTAGCTAGTATTACAGGCATGAGCCACTTTTACTCAGCATGAGCATTAATTTTGATCTTAAAAGGTAGATTGCAGTTGCCAGTATAGTATACAGTTACATATGTGATTCTTCCTAGTAGGATTGAGGACGAATTTTAGAAATGAAAAAATCCTTTTAGGGGCTGGGAAGGTGGCTCAGTGGTAGAGCACTTGCCTTGCATGCATGAGGCCCTGGGTTCGATTCCTTAGCACCACATAAGCAAAAAGAAAAAAGCCGGAAGTGACGCTGTGGCTCAAGTGGTAGAGTGTTAGCCTTGAGCTGAAGAGCTGAGGGACAGCACCAGGCCCAGAGTTCAGGCCCCATGACCGGATCCCCCCAAAAAAATTCTTTAAAAAAATGTACCACAGAAAAGGTCAAAAGCTATGTACATATATGATCCTATAAGATGATGTTAAGCAAACTGAACCCCAAGATAGGGACACAAGGTTTGTTTTTCTTTCTTGCTATTGTTTTTTAATGTATTTATAATGTATACTATGTGATTTTTTTTGTTTGTTTCTTTGGTATGTTCCTCCCCCACGGTATAACCCCTGTTTTCACTGTATTTGATTCCGGTGTCCTGCATCTTGTATATACATTTTTCTAATTTGGGAGGGGAAAGGAAATAACACAATGCTTAAATAGGGATTCAGGTTGACCCATTGTAACAATGAGACGTACAAGACACTGTGTTAAAAATGAACTTTATAACTTCAGCCTGGTGGGGGTCGGGGGAAGGAGGGGAGTTGGAAGGGAAAGGATGGTAGGAGAAAAACAAAGGAGGGGGTAATAATGCTCGATAGGATAGGAAATATACTCATTACCTTACTCATGTAACTGTAGCCCCTCTGTACAGTATCTTTACAATAAAATATATATAAAAATAGTACCAGTGGGGGAAGCATATGAATGGAGGTAGGAAGATTGCACAAATGCAGTCATTGTATTCATTGTATGTACATTATGTAAAAACTGAACTGTGTCCCCTGGGTTCATGGCTCACACCTGTAATCCTAGCTACTCAGGAGGCTGAGATCTGAGGATTGTGGTTCAAAGCCAGCCTGGGCAGGAAAGTCTGTGAGACTCTTACCTCCAATAAACCACCAGAAAACTGGAAGTGGTGCTGTGGCTTAGGTGGTAGAGTGCTTGCCTTGAGCTGAAGAGCTCAGGGACAGCGCCCAGGCCCAGAGTTCAAGCCCCATGACCAACCAAAAAAAAAAATGCACTGTGTAACTTGAGGGTGGGGATGGAAAGGGACAAACAGGGGAGAATAATAGGGATGGTGTTGACCAAGAAGCACTGTACCCATAATCTGACTCAGGGAATTATAACCTCTTTGTACAACTATATCATCATCATAATAGTAATAAAAATAATAAATATCATGTCTCTTTTAAGTTTAAAGTTGCTAGATTATTTTTCTTTTTCCATTTCCCTTTTCCTCCCTTCTACAAATTCAGATCTTGTGTCTGCCCTTTAGGTTTGCTGTAATGGCACAAGAGTATTTGTGCAAAAGGGAATTTTTGATAAATTCACTGAAGAAGTGGTGAAACAGACCCAAAAGATAAAAATTGGAGATCCCTTTTTGGAAGATACAAGGATGGGTCCCCTTATCAACAAACCACATCTGGAGAAGGTTCTTGGCTTTGTTAAATTGGCAAAGGAAGAGGTAAGAAATGAGAGGCGGTGAAAGGCTGCTGGCTGAGTGTCTCTTCTGGTTAATATCCCGTGGCCATTCATGCCCTTCTGCAATGCTAGGCTATGCTCTTGCAATGGGAAGATTTTCATGTTTCAGGAATGCATATGGGAGTGACCTGTTTATCACAGAAGATGTGTTCTTTCTCTTTTCTTTCCAGGGCGCTAAAGTGTTATGTGGTGGAGATGTATATGTTCCTGAGGATCCCAAATTAAAAGATGGATATTATATGAAGCCTTGTATATTAAGTATGTCTTCTTGTCTGCTTTTAAATGGGTTCAATGAAGTATTAAGTATATCGGAATGATTATGTGTAAAGTATGTATGGAATATAAAACAATGACCCAGGTGTCTTAAGTAGCCTTGGGTTACCTCTGAAGCCCTCTGGGTGCCCTGTCTCTAGGTCAGCCATATGTATTAGGTTCCACGAGAAGCTCAAGGAAATGAAAGTAGCTAGATACTGGTGGTTCACACCTGTAATCCTAGTTACTCAGGAAGCTAAGATCTGAGGATCAGTGTTTGAAGCCAGCCTGGGCAGGAAAGTCCATGACACTTTTATTCCAATTAAGCACCAAAAAAACCAGAAGTAGAGCTATGGCTCAAGCAAAAAAGCTCAGGGACAGAGTCCAGGTCCTGAGTTCAAGCCCCAGAACCAGTACCAAAAATAAGTTTATCATTAGGATATTAATTTTTGTTTAGTTTCCTCTCTTTTGCATGTTTGTTTCTTTTCACTATTTAACATTGTGATGAATATTTTTGTAAAGTCAGTGTTGTTTGACTGAGTAGAGGTAGAGTTACACAAAGGCTGTAATTTAATAGAGATTATGAAACTCCCAGGTGGAAAGGATATTCCAGCCAGTGTTCACAGTGGCCATGTTATAATGGACTTTTTTTTTAAATAAAGTGCTACATTTTCCTGTTTACTGTGAATAATGCATTAAAAATTTCCTAAAATGAATTTTTAAAAATTATGGTTATGAAGAGGTTATATTTCCATAAGTCAGATTATGAGTACAGTACATGTTGATCAATGTCACCCCTTCCATTGTGCTCCCCTATTATTTCCCCTCCCATTCCTACTCTAGAAGGAAGAAGACATTTTCGAGGGTCTGAGCTAACACTCCCTTCTCTGACATACTGTTTTTTTTTTGTTTTGTTTTGGGGTCAAGTCATGGGGCTTGAACTCTGGGCTTGGGCACTGTCCCTCAGCTGTTCAGCTCAAGACTAGCGCTCTACCACTTGAGCCACAGCACCACTTCCGGATTTTTTCTTTTTGCTTATGTGGTGCTGAGGAATCAAACCCAGGGCCTCAGGCATGCGAGGCAAGCGCTCTACCACTGAGCCACCTTCCCAGCCCCTGACATACTGTTTTCTATAACTGCTTTCAGCTAATTGCAGAGATGACATGACCTGTGTACAGGAAGAGATCTTTGGACCTGTTATGTCCATTTTATCATTTGACAGTGAAGAGGAGGTTCTGGAAAGGGCCAACAACACCACTTTTGGACTAGCAGCGGGTGTTTTTACCAGGTACGTAGAAAGGGACCCCAAATGAAGCAGCTTTGAAGGGTTGAGCTACAGGATGCTAAGATGAGCAGCTGACCTTCTTCCTCCCCAAAGTTGCCCTCCAGCTATCAGCATTTTCCATTTTTGCAGTTTATCCTTTTTTTTTCTTTTTGCAATGCTGAGGATGGAACCCAGGGTCTCGTCCATTCCAGGCAAGTACTCTGCCACTGAGATACCCTCCCCCTCCAATTTTGTTTGCTTTAAGTGAGGCAGTGCCAAAGCAGCATTTTGTAGTTTGCCCTCAATGGCCTGGCAACCCTGCTCTCAGTGTAAATTGAACCATGAATTTTGCTGATGAAAAGGCTGTTCACTTTCATTCCTTCACTGAGTAAACATTTTAGGTTCTGGCCTGTGTAAAGCATTGGCTGAGGTACTTACTGGAAACATACATATTTCTACAATTAAAACAATGTTTTAATGTTATTATAAAGGTGTTATACAGAGGGGTTACAGTCAAGTAAAGAGTAGGTTTCTTTTTGGACAGTGTCACCTCTTCCTGTATTTCTCCCATTTAGAAATTTATAAGCAAATGAGTACTGGTAATATTCTTCAAAAATAGGATTATTATTATTATTGTCAGTTGTGGGGCTTGAATTCTAAGCTTAGGCGCTGTCCCTGCACTCTTCAGCTCAAGGCAAGCACTCTACAACTTGAGCCACAGCGCCATTTCCGGTTTTCTGGTGGTTTATTGGAGATAAGAGTCTCATGGACTTTGCTGCTCTGGCTGGCTTTGAACCGCAATCCTCAGATCTCAGCCTCCTGAGTAGTAGGATTAAAGGCATGAGCCACCAGTGCCTGGCAGGATTATTTTTTTGTCAGTCCTGGGTCTTGAACTTAGGGCCTGGGCACTGTCCCTGAGTTGCTTTTGCTCAAGGCTAGTATTCTACCACTTGAGCCACAGCAGTACTTCCGGCTTTTTCTGTTTATGTGGTGCTGAGGAATTGGACTCAGGGTTTCACTAGGCAAGCACTCTACCACTAAAAGTATTCCGAGGGCTGGGAAGGTGGCTCAGTGGTAGAGCGCTTGCCTTGCATGCCTGAGGCCCTGAGTTCGACTCCTCAGCACCACATAAGCAAAAAGAAAAAAGCCAGAAGTGGCGCTGTGGCTCAAGTGGTAGAGTGCTAGCCTTGAGCTGAAGAGCTGAGGGACAGTGCCCAGGCCCAGAGTTCAGGCCCCACGACTGGACCAAAAAACAAAACAAAACAAAATAAAAGTATTCCGAGTCCAACAGGATCTTTTTTTAATGGGTCTTATAGTAGTCCTAATAGTTGGACTGGGATGTAGCTTGGTGGCAGTGTACTTGCCTAGCAAGTGCAACGTCCTGGCTTTGATCCCCAGTACCAAAAAAGAAAAGACAAAAAAAAATACAGTTAAAAAAAAACCTAGGAGCTGGGAAGGTGGCTCAGTGGTAGAGTGCTTGCCTTGCATGCATGAGTCCCTAGGTTCGATTTCTCAGCACCACATAGGCAGAAAAAGCCAGAAGTGGTGCTGTGGCTCAAGTGGTGGAGCGCTAGCCTTGAGCTGAAGAGCTGCGGGACAGAGCCCAGTAGGCCCAGAGTTCAAGCCCCATGGCCAACAAACAACAACAACAACAAACCCCTAATAGGATTGCATCCTAACTCATATAGATAGTTTTTCCTAAGAGAGATTTAGGATGTTCCAGTTTTGAATATCATATGTAATATTGTGACTAATATTTTTGTACATAAATTTTAACTAATACAAGTAAAAGTGATTTGGGAGCAAAATTTTTCTGAAAAAGCCAGGCATGGTGCTACATAGACATATGTAACACTAGCACTCAATAGTCTGATGCAGGAGGATCATGAGTTTGAGGTTAGCTTGGGCTGTGTAGCAAGAGTGTCTCAAAGAAAAATCACTAAAATCAAGTATGTATTTCTTGATTGTGTACAAACTTTGATTAAATGGCAATAGAAGGCAGATTTTTTTTTCCATTTAGAGTTAATGCTGTTTGTTTGATGTGATGTCAGAGGTCAGATTATTTGTTGCTCTGTGGTCAAGAACCCAGGAAGGAAGGCCACGTCTACTCTCCAGTGAAGCATCTTGGAGGCCTGCTGTAATTGCTTCCCTTTGAGTTCTGAAGAAAAGGTTGGGAGCTGCTTTGCTAATGAGATGAGATGATTGAGCAGGTGAAGTGTTCTTGCTTGACCACCATCCATACTGGCAAAGCCCATCAGGAGGAAGTGTGATCCCAATGTGCCGAGTTACTTCTTATTTTTTTGTTGGTCATGGGGCTTGAACTCTGGGCCTGGCTGCTGTCCCTCAGCTCTTCAGCTCAAGGCAAGCACTATACCACTTGAACCACAGTGCCACTTCTGGGTTTCCTGTCTGGGCTGGCTTTGAACCTTGATCCTCAGATCTCAGCCTCTGGAATAGCTAGGATTACAGGCGTGAGCCACCAGCACCCGGCTTTTTTTTTTTTTTCTAAAACAACTTTACATTCTAACAACCTTACTGGGATTAAGGCACACACCATACAGCTCATCTGTTTTAGTGTTTTTAGTATATTTGCAGAATTATGCAATTATAGCTGCAAAATAGTGTAATTTTAGAATATTATCAGTAGATTTTCTTGATCCCAAGAAGAAACTGGGTCCCTTAACAGTCACCTCTCATGTTTTCTCCTTCTCAGATCCTGCAACATTGATCTATTCTGTCCCTGTGAATTTGCCCATTCTGAACATTTTATATAGGTGTAGTCATACCGTTGTGGTGTTTGTGTTGGCTTCTTCCACTTTTCCTGTTTTCAAAGTTTATATATGTTGGAGCATGTATCCGTAAATTCCTTTTTCCTCCTGAAAAGTTTTCCATTGTATGGATATACTACCTTTAGTTTATAAGATTTCTTTGCTTTTTGAGACAGGATTTCATTGTGTAGCTCAGGCTAGTCTGGAACTTGCAATCCCCTTGCTTCAGCCTCCTGAGTCTGGTATTACAGCTTTCAACTACCATGCCCAGCTTACTGTTTATCCATTCATCTGTTGATGGATAATTGTCAGATTGTTCCTAGTCTTTTTTTTTTTGGTCAGTCATGGGGCTTGAACTCAGGGCCTGGACATGTCCCTGAGCTTTTTTTGCTTAAGACTAGCTCTCTACCACTTTGAGCCACAGGAATACTTTGTTTTCTGGTGGTTATTTAATGGTGTGTCATTGCAGTTTTGCTTTACATTTGTGTTGATTGTTTGCCATTTTCTTGACAGTTTTTATTTGCAACACAAAAGTTTTAATTTTGACAAGCCTTTTTTTTTTTCAGTTTTGCTACTTTTAGTGTTATATTTCAGGGGCTTTGTCTAGGCTAAGGTCATGGGGCTTTTTCCCATGTTTCTTCCTCTAAGTTTCCTGGTTTTCCCTCTGACACTGTAGGTCTGTGGTCCACATGAGTGGATATTGTGTGTAGAATGAGAAAGGACCTTTTGTGTGTATGTATGTGGTTGTTCTTACACTATTTGTTGAAATATTTTCCCCTATTGAGTAGTTTTTTTTAAATTTAATTTTATTGTCAAGGTGATGTACAGAGGGGTTACAGTTACATACGTAAGATAGTAAGTACATTTCTTGTCTGTTGAGTAGTTTCTATGCCCTTGTTGTTCTTTATTTCGTAAATGCTGTTGGTTGAAATGAAAACTAAATCTATTTCTGTTTTGCTTAAATGGTGAGTGGTTTTGAAACATTTTGAAGAAACAAAGATTTGGCAAGATTTCAGGACCTTTAGATCTAGCAGTCTGATGTGTTCCTGTAGGAGCATAGCATAAGCACTGTGAATAACCACAGTCTCTTTTCTCCACAGAGACCTCCAGCGGGCTCACAGAGTAGTGGCAGAGCTGCAGGCTGGAATGTGCTTCATTAACAACTATAATGTCAGCCCAGTGGAATTGCCCTTTGGTGGATATAAGAAATCAGGTGAGGCTGGGAAAGTGGCTTAGTGGTAGAGTGCTTGCTTAGCATCCATGAAGCCCTGGTTTTGATTCCCCAGCACCACATCCACAGAAAAAGCCAGAGGTAGCTCTGTGGCTCAAGTGGTAGAACACTAGCCTTGAGCAAAAAGCTCAAGGACAGTGCCCCAGCCCTGAGTTTAAGCCTCAGGATGCAAAAAAGAAATCAGGTAAGGAGCTGGAAAGTGCAAAAGCCAGCCAGGTTGCTAAGAGGACTGTCATATAACCAGTCATTATACCCCAGTGGTCATAAGTCTACCTGGGTATTATTCACCTGGGGAAATACATAGACTCCTGGTCTTGCCCAGACCCACTGTGCCAGTCTGTGGGAATGGAGGCCGAGTGTCCGCAGAGGGCGCTGCAGTGCACATATTAAATCATTCTATCTGGGCCATGTTTTTAAATGTCATAATTTACCACAGTTCTAACTCCCTCCCTCCCACTGGGACATGTATTATCACCATATGTCAGAGACCTTGCGTCTGGCAAATACTTACAGGCATCATGTGGGCAAATACATAAACACTACTGAAATGGTCCTGACAAGTTTTACAGTCTGATTTGGTATTTAGAATTGTCCTGGCAATTCTTAATCACCTCTATCCCTGTAGGGCACTTGGAATAACTGGATACATAACCCAAATATAATTACTACCAAGGTACCATTTAGTATGGTCTGAATCACCCAGAATAATGTACACTGAAGTTAAGGTTCATGTTATATGTTTTCCTGTCCTTAGCCCTAAAGATCTGTGGGTCACACTTCCCATCCCTAGCCCACAGATAGCACATGGGTTGAAGACTGGATCCCATCTGTGAAGATTCTGTGTTCTTCCCTGCCTCAATAAGCAGTATGCGCTTTCTCTGACAATGTCAGTGACAGCTCATCCTAGCCCCTTCTCTTCCTTTTAGGGTTTGGCAGAGAGAATGGCCGAGCGACAATCGAGTATTATTCGCAGCTGAAGACTGTGTGTGTGGAAATGGGTGATGTGGAGTCTGCTTTTTGAAATTCTTCTGTGAGGTCTGTCCATGAGAGAATTGAGAGCTTGTCAAATCTAGACTTGCAGTTATTCTGGATAATTGTTCAGTGTTCTTCACCTATCACTCACCTCTCTAATGAAAATGTGCCTAAATGCCCTTTAGATAGTAATCAAGGAAACTGTGATTTTCCTCAAAGCTAATTTCTGTGAAATCTGCCAAAGCCAAGAACGCACTTCAAGAGAATAGGTAGATTAAACATTACATTTCTTCTACTTCTGATTCCAGCCATGTTAATTTCTTCTTTCTTTTTCTTTTTTAGCTTACTTTAAAGAACATGATACTTTGTAGTTTCCTAGTAGACTCAGTAGATATGATTTCTGTTGGCTGACTTTTTTGTGTGTGTTGGTACTGGGCTTAAATTCAGGGCTTGCTGCTGTCCCTTAAGTTTTCCACTCAAGGCTGGTTCACTACTTTTTGAGCCCCAGCTACACTTCATACTTAAATACTAAGTATTACATTTAATACTCAGAGATGAGTCTCATTGACTTTTCTGCCCAGGCTGACTTTGAACCTCAACACTCAGATCTCAGCCTCCTGTATAGTGGCCAGTGAGTCACTGGCACTGGGCTTTGTTGATATTTTTTTCCCCAGTCATGGGGCCTGGACTCTAGGCCTGAGCACTGTCCCTCAGCTCTTCAGCTCAGGCTAGCGCTCTACCACTGAGCCACAGAGCCACTTCTAGGGCCTCATGCATGCAAGGCAAGTACTCTACCACTGAGCTACCTTCCCTTCCTTGTTGACATTTTTAAAGCTGTGTTCTTCTGTCATTCCCATTGAAAAAACTGATGATTCATATAGAGAGGGGATTAAATAATAGATGAGGGTCAGGTTTTGTGCAACTTGGAAATTGATTTCATTCATCCCCCCCCACATACACCCCCCCCAGTAAAAACTTGCCTCTGGTCCTTAAATACTACATATAGCTTGTTCTCTTGATTTTTAGCACCCTAACCCCAGTTTGTTCTCTTACAGCAAAAAAGTTGCTTTTTTAAGTGCTTAAATATCACTGCTAATGTATAGTGAAATTAAAAATAAATTACATGTTAATCCTTTTTCTTTCTTGTTTTGAAACTCAACACAACTTAAGGCTGTGGCTGAGGGATCTGATCCACCTCTGGCAGTTAAGTACAAAGGGCAGATTGAGTTGCTATAAAGAATTTATAGGGCCAGGTGCTGGTGGCTCGCATCTCTGGAGGTTGAAATCTGAGGATCTCAAAGCCAACTCAGGCAGGAAAGTCCTTGAGACTCTTATCTCTGATAAACCACTCAGAAAACCAGAAGTGGCGCTGTGGCTCTAATGGTAGCTCAAATGGTAGCGCTCTAGCCTGGAGCTGAAGAGCTGAGAGACATCCTTCGGGCCCAGAGTTCAAACCCCACAACCTACAAAAAAAACAAAACCCAACAAAACTTATGGCCCCAGGTTGTTTCCCATTGTGATGGGGCCAATCCTGAAGAGCTGGCACATCACCTCACGTTCCTTGTTGGAGGCTGCTGCATTGAGACCCTGCCCTGCCCTTTCTCTCCTTTCAGGGGAATAGTTAATAACAAATGATGTTGGCAGATTGAGTTAAAGAATTGAGGGACAGGCCAGGCACTGGTGGCTCACACCTGTAATCCTAGCTACTCAGGAGGCTGAGATCTGAGGATCACGGTTCAAAGCCAGCCTGGGCAGGAAAGTCCATGAGACTCTTATCTCCAATAAACCACTAGAAAACCGGAAGTGGCGCTGTGGTTCAAGTAGTAGAGGGCCTGCCTTGAGCTGAAGAGCACAGGGACAGTGGCCAAGCCCTGAGTTCAAGCCCTGAGACCGACAAAAAAAAAAAAAAATGATGTTGGCAGAGATCTGGAAATGGGCCTGGAGCTGCTCCGACCTAGGTGGACAGTGTCATTTCAGAATGTGGGAATTGTTGAGTCAGCCTGCCTGGGGGTTAGTGAAGGTCATTTGTGATAGCTAGCTAGGCACAGAGTCATCTCATCCTGTGTCTTAGGGCCTGGCGCAACAGAAACAGTAGGAATTGCCTGGAAGAGAAGCTTCTGATGCCCCTTCTGAGTTAGCTCTGAATTTCAGATGAAGAAACTGATTTGAAGAAAGAGGGTCCAAGACAAGTACTATAGTGAATTGAGGGGTTGTCTAGACCTGGTGTGGGACTTGAGTTCCTGTGCTTCTGTGGTTTCTGTGACTGCTGTAAGAAGGCTTTGCACATGTGATGGCTTGAAGCAACACAAATGCGTTATCTGGACATCATATATTTAAAATGGTTTTTTACTTGGCCAAATCCACAGAGTTGTCAGAATCACGCTTCCTCCATAGGCTCCATAAGAATTCTGTAGTTGGATGTTGAATATATCATCTACAGATGTGTATGCATGGTTCCAGGGAGTTACAATTGAGACTTGGTGGAACCTTCAGTGGGTTGGGGCTCCTGAGGTGCTCAGGTCATTCATTGGGTGTGCCTTCCAAGGGAATTGCAGAACTCCACCATGCACTCCCGCCATGAAGGGCCCAGAGCAATAGCCAGTTGATGTGGATCAAACCCTCTGAAATGAAACCAAAAAGACCTTTCCTTTCCTTTAAAAAATATTTTTTTGTGTGTGTGTGCCAGTTCTCAGGCTTGAACTCAAAGGCCTGGGCACTGTCCCTGAGCTTCTTTTGCTCAAGGCTAGCGCTCTACCTTTGAGCTACAGTATGACTTCTGGCTTTTTCTGTTTCTGTAGTACTGAGGAATTGAACCCAGGGAGGGGCTTCATGCATGCTAAGCAAGCGCTTTACCATTAAGCCATATTCCTAGCCCTAGCTACTGTATTTCATAAATTTGTCTGAACAAAGAATTGAAAGAAATGACTGATGTGCTGGGACACCAGAAAAATGTACATGTTCTGTACAGATGCAGTTATTAGCATATTTCTTTTCTTTTTCTTTTTTTTCTTCTTGTGTCGCCTTGGCTTGAACTTGGGGCCTGGGCACTGTCTCTGAGCTTTGTTTGTTCAAGGCTGGCACTCTACTACTTGAGCCACACTCCACTTGCAGCTTCTTTGGTAGTTAATTGGACATGAGTCTCATGGAGCCTGGCGCTGGTGACTCAGAGCTGTTATCCTAACTAACAGGAGGCTGAGATCTGAGGATCCCAGTTCAAAGTCTGGCCTTGCACATGAAAGCAAGTTTACTACCTGAGTTACACCCCAGTCCTGCAGATGCAATTTAAAAATTTAAAATGTCTGACCCACAGGTGTGAGACCCAACAAAAAGGAAGGCTGACTAGGATTGCAGGCGTGAGCCACCAAGAGCCTGGCCTTTCATATTAAGTATTTTAAATTTTCTTTGATTGACAGATTCCCTTGCGAAGTGTATTGAATGATGCTTTAGGGGCAAGTGGAGAGAGAATTGTATTGGTGCCAGGAAGAAGAAATACTTGCTGGTTCCTGAAGGGTTCACTCCTTTGCAACTTCAGAATCCCTATCTTTTTTTTTTTTTGGTCAGTTGTGGGGCCTGAACTCCGGGCCTGGGCACTGTCCCTCAGTTCTTTGGCTCAAGGCTAGCAATCTAGTACTTGAGCCATAGCATCACTTCCGGCTTTTTCTGCTTATGTGGTGCTAAGGAATCAAACCCAGGGCCTCATGCATGCAAGGCAAGCGCTCTATCACTGAGCCAACTTCCCAGCCCAACTATCTTAGTGACCCTGTAAGGACACAATTGCCTTAGACCTTAACTGAGCAGGTCTTTTACATACAAAGCCCTGGGGCCTTCTGCTTTCTCCCCCTACTGTGCTTCCTTCCTTGCCTGAGAGATCCTAATTGCTAGAGAATCTGACCTAGTGGGTTAAAGATTAACACCTTCCCACCAAGCACTTTACCAAAATTTCCCTCTAAATTAGAACACTACTTCAAGTCCTTGGCTGCTTTTTTTTTTTTTTTGGTACTGGTCCTGGGGCTTGAATTCAAGGCTTGGGTGCTGTCCCGAAGCTTTTTTTGCTTGATACTAGCACTCTACCACTTGAGCCACAGCTCTGTTCTGGCTTTTTTGGTAGTTAATTGGAGATAAGAGTCTCTGGAATTTTCTTGCCCTGTCTGCTTCGATGGGCGATCCTCAGTTCTTAGACACCTGAGTAGCTAGGATACCTGTATGAGTCACTGGCACCTCACCCTTGGCTGCCTTATACGTTGTCAGAGTCTGCACCCCAACTTCTCTTAATGCTCAAGTCTGAGTTGGGCTCTTCTTAGCAATAAAAGTGAATCCTTGGCTGTCAAGGCTACAGTGCCTGGCAAATCAAGGCTCTGAGTTCAAACCCTCGCACCACTACCACTACACCTTGTTGGACATATGGCTCTCAGTTCCCACTTCAGACCTGTGTGAAGGTGAACCTGAATTTTAGTAAGATCCTCAGAAGCAACATAAGCAAAATAGTTTGCCAAGCAGCGCCTTTACAGAAGTGGGTCTCAGGTCTGTCTGTGCACTAAGAATTGCCCAGGGAATTAAAAAATACTGACATGCTAACTTAATGGATCTGGGTGTCTGGAGTCTTAAAATTTCTCTCAGTGGGCAGCTGAGGTTGAGAACCACTGCTTTCAGGATTGTGAAGTTAAGTACAGTGGCCTTAGTTACATAAAGCTCTTTTTAGAAAAACTAGTTCTGTGGCTTGAACTCAGGGTCTGTCCCCAAGCTTTTGTGTTCAAGTCTAGTGCTTTACCACTTGAGTCACATCTTCACTTCCAGCTTTTTGGTCATTGATTGGAGATAAGAGTCTCATGGACTTTCCTGCCTGCACTGGTTTTGAACCACGGTCTCAGATCTCAGCTTCCTGCAGTAGCTAGGTGAGCCACCAGTGCTTGGCAGCGTTCTTAAGTTTAATGAATTAAGTAAAAATCCAGCCTGTCAGTTGTTTTAGCCACATTTCCACATATGTGGGTATTGGTTATTATCATGGACAGTGCAGGCAGTATTGCCATCCTGTCAAATAATTCTTTTGGACAGTGTTGCTTTAGATAGAGGTGGAACTGGGAGATGAGTCTCCTCCTCCTCCTCCTCCTTCCTTTTTCCTTTTTCTTTTCTTCTTTCTTCTTTTTTGCCAGTCTTGAGGCTTGAACTCGGCCTAGGCACTGTCCCTGAGTGTGTCTTGTTTAAGGCTTGTACTCTACCACTTGAGCCACAGTGCCATTCTGGCCTTTTCTGTTTATGTGGTATTGAGAAATGGAACCCAGAGCTTCATGCATGCTAGGCACACATTCTACCACTAAGCCACATTCCCAGCCCTATTCTGCATTTGATTGGGCTACAGGGGCTGGATTGGGAAGGTTTGGTGGATAATCTGGGTTGCCG